CATTCCCACGTTTGTCTGCCTGGACGATTGCATCCTACTGAATCTGTGTTCGGTTTCTTATTACTGCCATCGCACAAACGGAGTTCACCTAAGTATGATTACGAAGTCTGGGGGGGAGTTTTATTGCATAGCATACTCAAAGGTCCATAAATATCACAGTTATCTGATGCTGCTAAAGTAGAGAGCATAGTTCAAAATTAACACAGCAGTAAACATTCTAATCCGTTTCACCGGCCCGGATAACTATATCAAGAATTTATTTATACATGATGGAAACGTCCTTGGGAAAGACACAAAAATAGTGTACTAAGATACTACATCAACCAATAACAGTCAAGGATTTTTCAAACGAGAAATGTAATTTCAAGGTCAACTGATTAGCTCTTGCACGAAAACATAAAACTCAAAATTACGGCCTTATCGAGTGAGTTTTGGGAATTTCATGTCCCCAACATTAGGACTATTGTTAACTGATATAGGTATGGGACGTGTTGAAAAGCTGGCTAAAGACTTATTCGATAATATGCCCTTTTCATAAGAGATGTTTTGATGAGAACTTAGTTATCTGTGATAGTTATCGGCCAATTCAGTACAAATGGAATTTTATAAAGGGTCTATTCAATAGGATTGATTTTATTCGTAAGAACAGTGAAATTGGTGAATGACGATGTTGATGTAGAACGGTTCAAGCTATAAAACTTATAAATCAATGGGTAGGTCATAGTGTAGTTAGACCTGTAACACATTTGACACAGAAAATGCCTGTTTACACTGGGCTACCTTTCGGAAGGTTGTCAAATGAAGTTTTAGTAAAATGTAGTATGTAGCCAAATGTCATAATTATGTTTCGTTGAAGAAACTAAACAGTTGTATCACATCCTACTTGCATATGCCTGTGTACACACATACTAAGGGAGAAGTAAATCATAGTGTCTGAACATGGACTCAATGCTATGTGGGTTGTTTGAATCTCGTCATAGATGTTTAAGACCACAGTTGATGATCAGTTTCTGTTGCATTTGTTCGTCTTTTGAGTATCGTCTTGATATTGTCTTACAAATGAAAAACATTATTAACATAGATTAATAATGGCTATCAGTGTATTGAACAACGTGCATTTTGTCTTATTTACAACTCGTTAGCGTCGCAGATTTAATGTTCACTTCTGTATTCGAATCCTGTCCCCTTCGCTTCAAACATCATTTGTATTTGTTGTTTGAACCTTCCTATTGTAGTTGATCAGTCTCTGAATTTCAACACTCTCCAACATCTGTCTCTGAATAGACCCCCTCTGGGGCTACTGCCAGTTCCATGCCCCAATAAAGGAAGGCGTTTGGCCATCGCATACCGTAGAAGACTAAATCGCTAAAAAACCACCGCTCAAAATGCATGAAGCTAATTTAAACAAAAACCCAAATAAACTGATAAGAGAAAATGATCAACATTTATCATTCTCTATTGCGCTATACAGTTAAAATAGGTTATTAGATTGCAGTTCTGCACAAAACTGTTTAAAAGACTTAACCATATGAAAATCCGCACTTCTTTACGATAGATTCAAAGACAGTTTCTTCTCACCTTAAACCTAACCTTGATTGTGTTATGATCCATCGTGGTGATTTTTAGATTAAATAATTTTATTATTGCTGCAGTTCATTTTTTTCAGTTGACCATTTACTTATTTCATTCATAAAAATGTTCTAAACAAGTAGTAGCAGTAGTCGTAATTGTAGTGCGAGTAGTAGTAGTATTGTGATTAGTAGTAGTAGAAATAGTAGTAGTGTGGTGCGCGCTACTTATAAGTAGTATATGACGCGAGTGTAAACGTAATGTCTGGCAGCAGAAGATGAGGGAAGATCAAGAAAAGAAGAGTTAGAAAACAATGGAATTTGTATGAAATGCATGAACAGAGTGAAATGTCAGACAATGGATTGATGATGGATTGAAGATTTGCAAATTAACCGTTTACGATATGGTTTTCCTATTTTACTGAGTAACTCTGTAATTTTCGTTAAATACGATTCGGTTGCCCTCACCTGTGTTCTCCTTCACTACAGTAGTAGCAGTAGTACAAATGCGATTAGATTGTTCAAAATGTGTAACGTTATTTTACCATATTGATATGTTCGTCAACTGATATGCTTGAATGCTATTCAGAGTTCATCTTAGCCGGTAAACGAGAGCGAAGATAAATGATCCAGTGACACGATAGGCTATTCTGATTCGATTATCTCCTGCCCTGCTAATGGTATTAAAAGTCTTGATATGGAGTAGAAAGTGTATTCTACAAGCACCCAGAAAATGCGAGGTTAACAAGCGCACAAATCGAGCTTATTTATACATGATAGAAACGTCCTTGGGAGAGCTACAAAATAGTGTACTAAAATAATCCATCAATCAATGACAATTAAGGATTTTGCGAGTGGTTGAAGTTCCTAATTTAGATCTCTCAAAATGTCATACAGCAAAGATATTGATAATTTATGAATACAACTCATTTCTCTTAATATCGATAATCTCTGAAAGCCTCACTATGTGAAGATTTATTAAACTGTACTCAATATGACATTTTTATCCATCTTCCTATAAGAATTGAACATAAAAGTATCTTATTAAAATCATGAATCAATCATTGTTAGACCATCATTAGAAACGTGGAAGCATTAAACGATGTCTTGTTCTAAAGTGGGACTCAGCAGCAGTAAATATCCACTACTCCCGCTACTTGCGGGTTTCGAACCTAGGAGCTTCAGTCTCGCGCTCGAATGCCCAACCTCTAGACCAATGAGCCTGCATCCAACATTGTTAATGTCTTGCTCTGATCAATCTAAGGTTTTGCGTAACCTCGCATATTGTTTTCGATAGTTACTGACAACACCCTACAGGGTTGTGCTGTTAAAAGACCGATTAGTAAGAGATTTACAGAAAACTAAGAGAATTTGTACATCATAGAATCGTAATATATTTTATAAGACAAACCACAATTTAAATGTCAATCATTTGGGGAAATTTCACTGTTTCACAAAAGATCACAGTCTACTTTACCAAGTACAGAATAGTGATGCACAGAATAGCGATATTTATTTTAGAAATAATATTACACTTTTGTAATCACAAACCAATCATTGTTAGACTACCACTAGAAACCTGCAAGTACTAGACGGCCGTTTCATCCTGGTATGAGACCCTGTCGGGTGTAGGCAGTAACTACCGAAGACCAATGGGTGTGGTCGCACAAAATCTGTAGAATGATCAGAGTTAGACATTAACACCATCGGATGCCGCCGGTACAGTGGTCCAGAGTTTAGGCGTTCGCGTGCAAGGCCGAGGGTCCCGGGTTCGAATCCTTTGAGGTGCAGGAGTCGTGGAGGCGCACTGCTACTGATGAGTCCAATGCCAGGACGAAACGGCCGTCCAACGCTTCCAGTTTTCTAAAGGTAGTCTAACAATGATTGATTGATGATTTCAAATGTGTAAAAACACTAATCTCCATAACTCTAATTCAAAATATTATGCTTCATGGAAAATAGTAACTGGTCATTGTTAGGCCAGCACTAGAAAACTAGAGAACCTGGATAGCCATTAACTTCGAATATCGGACTCATCATTAGTGCGTATTCTTGACGTTGGGAGGTGGAATCGAACATTTAACATGTTGTCCATTGAGCCGATATCCAACAGTGTTAGTGTACAACTTGAATCAATGCACGATACTCCACGATCATTATACATTGTGTTCCATGAGTAACTACCTCATATCCAACCTGGTTCAACTCCAACTGATCATGGTTTCTAACTAGAATTCCGAAAATTTCCTCATGAATCAAGCCACTGGTGATTACATGATAATTATTAGTTTAGGATTGGTTGGTTCATGATTTAAACAATACTAAACAAACTCTCCAACCATAAATTGACAATTGTTTGGGTAGATTTAAGTAACAAGTCATAATAAACCATCATTGACATTAATTTGACCAGTACAAAGATTAAGATAAGCTAGTTTAAAGACCATAGAAAAAGGCAGTGAAATCAATTTCAAGATTTCAAGAGTCGTGGATGCGCACTGCCACTGATGAATCCCATACCAGGACGAAACGGCCGTCCAGTGCTTCCAGGTTTCTAATGGTGTTGGTCTAACATTGATCGATTCATGGTTACAAATAAAACTTAACAATCTTCACAACAACCCCGCAATGCAATTACATGTGTCCACTAGTGACAAGCTTGGTGAGGAATCTTCTCCGAGTTCTGGTGGGAAGTCGTGACCAGTGAAGTTCAAACCTGTTCGGATGTATACAGGGTATGAGTTAGATATTAACACTGTAAGATGCCGGCTCAGTGGTCTAACAGTTAGGGCTTTCGCGCACAATACAGAAGGTCCTGGGTTCAAATCCTGCGAGGTGCGGGGGTCGTGGATGCGCACTGCCACTGGGGATAAGTCCCATACCAAGACGAAATGGCCGTCTTTCAGTGATTCCAGGCTTCTAATGGTGTTGGTCTAACATTGGTCGATTTATGGTTACAGATAAAACTCATTGATTAACATAAACAAACAGAGGTTATCTAGTTTTGATCAATTTTAAAAATCAAAGTAGAATATATGAAAAAATGAAAGTCATGTTTCACTGAAATTATGAGTGAAAACTATTTAACTAACCAAAGGAGTGCAATCCTGTCCGATGTATCGAGGACAATATTAAATGTTCCACAATAAATATCTTGGACTGATTAGAGTTAGACATGGACACTGTTGGATGTGAAGTCAGTAATGCAGAGTTTTTAGTGTTTGTTTGAGAGACCGAAGGTCCTGGGTTCGAGTCCCGCGTGTTGCATTCGAGGATGACCACTGCAAATGGGTCCCATACTAAGATGGAACGGCCTCTCAGTGCTTCCAGGTTTCTAATGGCCATCTAACATTGATCAATTCATGATTTCATGAGAAACTCAACAATCTCCAGAAATCTTTTTTAGTGAATATCAAACACAGAAAACAATTTACACACCAAATATATATTTCTGTATTATTATTTCAAAGAATACTAGAAATATAGTATATATATAAGATAATTTTCCTTTATCAACCAACAATACGTGTTGTATTCTAAAAGATGGATCTTTCTTTCAGATAGTTATTGACCAATACAAAAACTATCATCATAGTAGATGAAAGGGCTATCCAGGATACTTCCAAGCAATCTAAAATATTTTTAAAAAAAATTATCAGGTATATTGATGAATAATATAGATTATTTAAACAAATATGTGAATGTTATTCAAAGTGTCATTTGTTAAACGTTCAAATTTTACTTTTTGTATGGAAAAAAATGTGTGTTCAATACGTTGAATAAAGAATTCCCCTTGTAACAGAGACGATTTTTTATTTGTTGTCGGAGTGAAATTGTTAACAACATGTTCATTATAGACTTCTAAAGATTGTTGAGTTTCGCTAAAATCATAAATCAATTATTGTTAGACAACTCTATTACAAAACCTTGAAACACTGAACAAGTGTTTCGTCCTACAATCGAACTCATCAGCAGTGGGTATCCACTACCTGCACAAAGGAGAATAAAAACACAGAAGCTTCGATGATGAACGGTTAACCTCTAACATTGACCGGTTTAATGTCTAACTTTAATCAATTCAAATTATTACGCAACCTTACCCATTGTCTTCGCTGGGTGACTAACTGCTTCACACCCGACAGGTTTGGACTACATTGGTCAAGGCTTCTCATTAGAACTTGCAGAATTCATTCACAAACCTACTTATTTGTGAGCATATGAGTGATTTATGATTTCAATGAGACGCAACAAACTCCATCACTCTATAATTAATTATATTCTTCACAAAATTATAAACAATTAGTTCACATTAGTTTCGGTAACAATCAATAAATGTGGCTTGTTAAACTTTTTTTTCATAACAAAAAAATGAATTCATATACCCAAAATCGAAAAACGACCCTGTGAACACTTTCAAAGATGATTTACTTACTTGCTGAACTCTTAGTTGTAGCTAAATGTTTATTTTGAAAACAAGTAAAAAGAAAATCATTTACTGACGACTTTTTCTTTAGATAAAACCGTCTGTGGGAAAGGAAAACCAGATTCCAGTGGAGGAGGAAATCAAGGAGAAGCAATGGAAGTGGATAGGACACATACTGCGAAAAGCACCTAACTGCGTCACAAGACAAGCCCTCATTCGGAATTCTCAAGGTCAAAGGAAAAGAGGAAGGCCAAAGAACAGATTACGCCGAGAAATAGAGAAAGACATGAGAAGAATGAACAAAAATTGGACAGAACTAGAAAGGGAAGCCCAGGACAGAGTTGGTTGGAGAAAACTTGTCTGTGGTCTATGCTTCATTGGAGGTAACAGGCATAAGTAAGTAAGTATGTATGTAAGAAAATGTGTGCCTCATAGATTATTGAAACATTGATCAGCATGCACAATATTTTTGAGCGATTTTCAAATTTTTAAAAAAAATAATATTCTACACCATTTAATGTCAAAATTGAATTATTTAACGTCATGTTATGTTATTTAAATGGAAAGAATTAAGGCGCTTCATTCAATTTGGAAACAGTTTACATTCCATTTGTTGATATTCATACATTGGAACTTGAAACCGACAAGTTTCTAAACTTTTCATACATGAATTGATTGTAGGCTTTGGAAACGGAATTTTCGTCTTCATATGTACATACATGTACAGAGGATCTCTGTGCCACAGTTCTGTTAAACTACTAACCACATTTCTTGTGTGTTAGGTTACTTCTCAAACTAACTAATTCGTAATAATTCATACGGATTCAAATTTGAATGAATCATAGGTGGAGTAACACTGGTTCAGATAATGTTATATGTAAATATTTATTCTGCAGTGAAAAGTTGAAGATACAGGTGTCTATTGTCTACACAAGTTACTCAGGATGCATTGATCAGATACTATGAGCAACAATCTACTGTGGCAGAAAACAAATCAGATTAAATCGCTCAATTGCATCACGAAACAAACGTTAACTTGAAATCCTCAAAGCTAAAGGTAAAGAGGAATACACTGTCTTGAGATTTGAAGGTAGACATGAAAATACTGAACAGTAATTGGATAGAACCTGGAAAGTTAGGCCTAGGTTATATTAGGTTGGAGAATGCTGTCCGATAGCCTATACTCTATTCAAAGTAACAATCGTAAATGAGTAGGTATTTAATCACTTGACAAGCAAAATATCAATGTAGCCTAGCTCATTTAAACAATTAAAAACAAATACTGTTTTTTTTGCAGACAACACAATTTCAGAGTTCTTTGCGGTTATCTACGCTTAAAAACTCTGCAATGATGAACGTTCATGTTTGTTAAGCAAAACAGAACACAAACTGAAAAATACTCAGTGCTTACTCGGTTTTCTGGCTATAATTAAAATAGATTTATATTTTCAACTACAAAAATCATACATTTTTCTTGAATGATCATTAAATTAAACGAAACAATGTGATCAGTACAACAGATATCATTCTATAATCACGATGAACACATGGACAGAAGAACATTTACAATGTCAGTTTTAAATGTCTGCTTAATAGAAACGACATTTGCAACTGATAAATCTGTATACAGTAATCTACAATTACTAAAGATACTCTATCAACGTACTTACATAGAAAACATGTTAGCTATCAACAGGGCTCATGTTCTACAGTCGTTATCTTATTACATCATCAGATGTTTGTCAACATGACCGAGCTAAGCATACTACAAATAACATTATATCCATGTAGATAATATTTTATTTCATGTCATTGATTTGAGTTTATTTATAAAGTCACCAACACAATCATTCTCAATGGCCAATCGTAATCATTTTTCATCAATCATTAAAATACACGGTCCATTTAATAAGTATCTTGTCTTATTGATTAATAATACTAATTGAAAATATTGTAAAATGTGTTTACTAGTGACTAGCTTCTTGAAGAGGAAATTCTCGTCGGAGTTGTAGTGAGAAGACATAACTAGTGAAGTTCAACCACGTCGAGTGTAGGCAGTGTTTTTTTCGTAACTCTGCTTGGAACCCTTCCAAGGCCGGTTAAAAGGAGGAGGGTTGGGTATGGGCTTGGTAGTAGTAGTAGTAGTAGTAGTAGTAGTAGTAGTAGTAGTAGTAGTAGTAGTAGTAGTAGTAGTAGTAGTAGTAGTAGTAGTAGTAGTAGTAGTAGTAGTAGTAGTAGTAGTAGTAGTAGTAATAGTAGTAGTAGTAGTAGTAGTAGTAGTAATAGTAGTAGTAGTAGTAATAGTAGTGGTAGTAGTAGTAGTAGTCGGACAAAGGATCAGGCGTAGACGGAAAGATTCATGGGTAAAATGTGAATTTCTAGTATAGAAGGAAAAAAACTAACTGACGAAACATACAACGTTGGTCACCACTACCAAGTAGATTGCGACACTGACATGATTCACTGATAATTTCCATACTTCAATACTGGTCAGCAGCCTTTGTTCCATTGGAGGTAATAAGCGTAAGTAGGTAAAAGTTTCATACCTCAGCACTATGATCTGTTTTGAGTGTCTCTAGTTTTTTCTCATTTTTATTTTTTCAAAATCTCTACACTAATCAAAATAATTTTATTCATTCACTTAATTTGTTATGTTATTTTGTTTTAAAAATCGTGATATATTACTAATAAAATAGATTTCAAACATCATTTCAATCATTAGAAAAGTTATGATTTATTATTCTTTTCCGTTGTACGTTAGAACTTACTTGTAACTATAGAAAATTTTTTTTAGAAAAAAAACGTTACATATATATCAGTAGATAATTTAATACTGAGTAAATATTACGCGAAACGTTTTCCTCATCCAAATATCCGAAATGGTGTTCGATTGTATAGAGTGTAAACTTGCCAAATTACAAAAGCTATCATCCAAAAGATACAATTGTTTACGTAACAGTTGTCTACACATAATACTTTGGATGTGTCGGTTAGACACTATCAGCTACAACCTACCTAGTGAGTGGCTGAGTAAAGTAGGAATTATGAAAAAGTGTTTTCGAGATGAATAGAATACACTTTCCTGAAAGAATCTAACTGCATCACACGGCAAGCTGTCGCTTGAAACCTTCAAGGCCCGAGATTTGAAGAGATAAATATGACAAGAATGAACAGTGATTGGGTACAACTATAATAGATGGCCCTGTACAATATTATGCTTTCAGTGATCGATTTCGTGAACTACACATCTCTAATTATACGAAACACTGATTATTAGCACTAAAATTCAAATGTTTCTAATGATAACGTAACAATCTTAGGTTACACGATTGTTATAACAATCGTGAAATGTTTAAAATCATTTGGAAAACATTGAACACTTTTCAAGGATTCATTATCCTCAAGTATTTAAACATCCAGCATTCCCAACTATCTACTGTTTCAACAAGTCATGTTGTCTGATGTAAGTGTGTGGTGTGCGCTACTTATAAGTAGTATATGACGCGAGTGTCAACGTAATGTCTGGCAGCAGAAGATGAAGGGAAGATCAACAAGAAAGGAAGAAGAGTGGGAACACAATGGAATTTGTATGAAACGCATGAATAGTGAATGAAATATCAGGCAAGGGATTGATGATGGATTGAAGATTTGCAAATTAACCGTTTACGATATGGTTTTCCTATTTTACTGAGTAACTCTGTAATTTTCATTAAATACAATTTGGTTGTCCTCACCTGTGTCCTTCTTCACTACAAGTGTAAGCTGTAAGGAAGCTATAGGGGCGGTCAAACCAAAACATGGCACAAATTTATGAAATCATTGACTCGGAGACTGATCCCTGTTAGTAGGTGTAGACAACCAAGTTTAGTGTCGACGAGACGATACTAACCGATGGTTAGAGACTTTAAATGACATGACTCGAAATCGTATGTGATGCTTCTTGAACTGATGTACATACGTACCAAGTTCTATTTTGTAGTTGGCTGACTGACTGACTGACTGACATATTTCAAACACATTATATCTCAACTGAATTATAATATCAAACAGTATTTTGCGTTATATATGTTAAATAATTTTGAACAACTTACGAATATCATCGTCTGAGAATAAACCAGAACCTGAATATTGTACAGAAAAAAAACAAACATGCATATATAATAATTTTTTTTTCAAAATAATCCAAAAATGTTAATAGCAATACTGAAAACAATAAATTACCTCGAACATTTTGTACAACAATGAATAAGAATACAATGGTTTGTAACATAGCTACTAATAAATATTGACGATAAGACATTGTGAATACTAATTGTATTCAATTTGAATGTTTCAGTGATTAATTTTGCGCGTGTAAATGTTCAATCATTCAGTTTTTATATGAACACTTTTTTTGTTCAATTTATACATGAACAATGTTTACTTTTTGTTATTTAATTCTTATGTAAACAAAAAACATGAAATGTTATTTCGCATTTTTTTTCGTATTTTTCAAAAATGTAAAAAAAATGCGAAACATTCAAATCTGATACATTTTTGGTACATATCCGCCTACAAATGATCATGTTTACAAATTGTTTCATTGTTTTCAGTGTTAGACGCTTCAGGCGGTACACATACTAGGAGTGAAACGATACAGTGAAGATTAGTATGGCGCTTGCGCAAGGATGACATGCTAAATTATGAAGCGTTCCAGTATTTTTTGGGCGGGAGTAACTATGACTCTCTTAAGGTAGCCACCAAATGCCTCGTCATCTAATTGAATGCGTATATTAGGTGACGCGCATAAATGAAGCCTACTGGGGGTTGTGGTGACGCATAACTCTTCTTGGTCCTGCTAAGCAACGTGGCGTTATTTACATCGCTGCGGCTAAAAGCTGTTCCGAACGCTTAGGATACCGTGCCTAGCATGGTCTAGAGTTGTAGTGCCTCCACATATATTCCAGTCCGCTTACATCTAACTTGGTTAAGCCCTTTCGATTAATTTATTTAACCAAGCCATTTGTATAGCAACAATTTATATGTACCGTTCGTTCTTATTATTGTCTGGTTTGTATGAGCCCACATGACATGTTCCACTTGTCATTCGACCTTGTCAATCATTCGTCGCTTTTATTCATGTGTGTGCACGCCTATTTCGCTTGTCAAATGTCTACCTTATTTTTGTCTGACTATATATTCTTAGTCATGTTCTATCTCTTTGAGTTGGCTCTTTGCCTTCTCCAACGCGCTCCTCCTATCCATTCGCTTCCTGCGTTTTATTCACTGCTTCTCCGCTTCGCTTTGTGCTGTGTTCTGAATAAACGTATTCATCACTACGAATTCATCTTCTGATTTATAAATCGTCAGACGCTATTTAGTAACGATTGTCTGGACGAGTTAATTACCGAGCTTAAGAACACTCAGTAATTTGACACACACCACAAAAGAGTGATGGTACGTGTTCATGCTCGCAAGGCCGTGGATGCGGTTAACCACTCTGAGGGATTAGGACTGAACGCCTCCAAGTCTGAATATTGTCCTCTGAGCGTAGGTAAACTTGAATATTGGGATAATAGCTTTCCAGGATACTTGAAGGCGGCCCTAGACGTTCTGTATGGGGAGGCAGCCGTAGACATCCTGGACTATAGACGCCGACTCTATGTAGTTATCCCTTACACTCTGCACCCGATGTAGTGTGTGAACTGGCATCGAGGCCCCTTAAACAAGGGTCTCCAGTAGGGTTCCTGTGTTCCATTGCTGAAAGGGTACTGGACGCCAATGATGTCTGCCTACTTCTGTGGGATGAACCCTGTTTGGCCGAGCGCTTGCGCTTGGTCGAGCCCATGACATCTTCTTCATGGAACGGTGTACGTTCTAGCTGACCTTGTGGGACAAACTCGATCTTTAGCTTTATGTGAGGCCTTGGGGACTCCGATCGATTGTTCAGCGAAAGGCAGTTGGAGGCCAAACGGTTGGAACGACTGCCGGTTTGTGCACTGCTTGGGTGGCTCGGTAATCCGTTCGCGGTGCCAGGTCTAGCCTTGGAAGCCCGCCTTTCCGCCCTTGCCGATTGGGAATTGTGGGTAATGGATTGATTGGACTGATCGAGTTGATTCATAAGTGCCCGGACGCGGGCAACTGCTCGTGTGCGTGCTATTTGGATGTCCAATTGTCTACAGACCAATCTTGACAACTTGTGCGTTCCCGTATGGGGCAGGGGTGATCTCAAAATTGGCTTTTATGAGAATCCTTGTGTTGCCTAAAATGCAGCGGCGTGCATGTACAGCAGGCCTGTTGGTTAACCAAGAATATAAAAGTTAGTTATTTGCTTATACTTGAGCTTGTTACCCTGTGATGAAGAATTTGCAGGCGATCAACATTCTGCAAACAATTGTATTCTGGACGTATAACGAGAACAAAACAATGAACCAGCGTCCACGTAGGCTACTGTGATCCGATTGTCCCAATTGTACCAGCAAGAAGTCTTGATATAGCGTAGAAATTTTATTCTACGAACACCCAGACAGAACATAATGAATCCAAGCACACAAATGGCATTTATCGAAACACCATAGAGACGTCCTTGGGACAGTCACAAAAATAGCACACTAAATCGACACAGAAACCAATCACAGACAAGGATTTTTCTGGTGGGAAATGTGATCTCAAGGTCAACTGATCGATCCATGAAATAAAACCAAAATAAAGATAGTTATCAAGCTAGTTCTGGGGATTTAACATCCCCAAAATTCAAAATATTATCAATGATAATCAAACTTACTAAAAATGGAAGTCAACGAAAACGTTGGCGGTGTTGTGTAATATGGTCAAGATTATCAAAACGTTTCAAATATTGAATATAGTAATAGTAATCATTATTTGTAAATAGAACGGTATTAATTTAATTACACATTATTGAAACCATGAATCGATCAATATTAGACCACCATTAGAAATGTGGAAGCCCTGGACGGCCGTTTCGTCCTGATATGGCACTCATCAGCAGAGTTAGACATTAACACCGTTAGATGCCGGCCCAGTGGTCCATTGGTTAGATGTTCGCGCACTAATACCGAAGGTTCTGCGTTCGAATCCTGCGAGTTGCAGGAGTCGTAGATACGCACTGCTGATGAGTCCTATTCCGGGACCAAACGGCCGTCTAGTGCTTCCAGGTGTCTAACGGTGGTCTAGCATTGATCGATTCATGGTTTTAAAAATGTGAGATTTTGATAAAACAGTGAGGAGACGTAATTAATCTGAAAAATAGTGTGATGTATTTGTGCTATGCGCTGTTCGAAAAATCCGGTCCTACATATATAAACTTGTCAAGGCATTTTATATGAAGATTGATAAAATTAACCCCCCCTTATGTGTACAAAAACAATTTTTATAACCTTGAATTTACCCTGGTAATCTTTAAGCCTAGGGTAATGAAACAATTTTCCTACCCTTTCATATCGTTTTCATATTACGTTAATTTTCGCTCTCCTTTATTTACAATTATCACCTTATGTCTATTTGAACTGCTATTTAATTGACCTTTTATTAATCTTCATATAAAATGCCTTAACAAGTGTAAATATGTGTGACCAGATTGTTCGAACAATGTATAGCGCAAATACATCACACTGTTTTTCAGATCGATTACGTGTTCTCACTGTTTTATCAAAATTTCACATTTTTGAAACCATGAATTGGTCAATGTTAGACCCCGATCAGAAACCTGGGAGCACTGAAAGACGGCCGTTTCGTCCTGGTATGGTACTCATCAGTGGCAGTGCGCATCCACGACTCCTGCACCTCGCAGGATTCGAACCCAGGACCTTCGGTATTGTGCGCGATCGCTTAACCTCTGGATCACTGAGCTGGTATCTAACGGTGTTGTTTTAAATTTAATAAAGTCATTAAAACTTATTCACAGCTTTTGTTATATAGGTAAAAAGTGGTAGACGTTTATAGAATAAAAATTTAACGATAACTGTCCATTATTTTTGAAGGAAAGCGAAGATCAATGTATTGTTAAGCAAAAATCTAAAGGGATGATAGTATGGACATGACTCATTGGTACACGGAGATATTGTGTTTGCAATGATGAATCGTTGTAGTTTCAGTTGTGCATAAAATCTGTATTCGAATCTTTTTAAAATCGGTTTTTTCCACTTTAAAGAGGATGTAGTGAAGATGGTTCACGTGGTGGGTTGTGATCTAAGTTTCTTTTTTACATACAAATACCATGCTAACTAAGTATATAGCTGACTAAATTATTTGATTTCTCGTTGTAGAGTTATGCAGACATTGAGTCATTGGACGGTCATTTAGATTTGTCCCGAGACTCATTAACAGTGTGTATCCACGACTCTGGCTGCTCACCGGAATCTAACGATAATGAATTCACGATTTCTATATAAAACAACAATCTCCAAAACTCTATCATGAAAAATCATAAAATGTGCTCACTAGTGATGACTGGCCTCGCCAAGGAATTCTCGACGTTCTAGTAAGAAGCTGTGACTATTGGAGTTTGTCCCTGTAGGGTGTGAAGTAGTTATCTAGTGAAGAGGCGATAACCTGAATAGATTGGATGCCGACTTAGTGATCCAGAGGTTAGGTATTCGCGTGTAAGATTGAATGTTCTGGGTTCGAATCCTGTGATTGGCGAGAATCGTGTATGCCCACTGACGCAGAGTCGTATACGAGAACAAGACGGTCATCCAGTGCTTCCAGACATCCAAAAGTGATCTAACAATGATTGATTCATGATTTCAATGTGTAAGACTCAAAAAAGTTGATCGTTGTAAGACTGGTGTACTGTTAGTACTAAGAATAGTAATATATCATAACAAAAGTTTGTGTCAATAGACTTCAAATTGATCATTACAAAACATTATCACAATTAATTAATAAAAAGTGAGTAAATAATTCAATAGTGAAGATTCTTAAAAAGGAAAATGGCGAAAAAAACTTATTAACAAAAACAGGATGTGTAAATAATACTGTTAATAATAATAGTAATAATAGTAATAATAATAATAATAATAATAATAATAACGAAATAAAATCGTTTATTAAGTTATATCCAACCAAGGAAGGCCCAGTGATGCCAAGCATTTCCTCTGAATACATAAATTGAGAATTTTTTCAGTTGGAGTAAGGGAGATTAGTGTTTTGATACATTTGTTAGGATATTCATCCAATATCCTATGAGAATTATTGGTCAATTCTTATTGGTTAATTCCTTCAAGTCAATTTTATGGTCGTCCTATCTATCAGTGTATAAATACGCATTATCTGTAACGTTTTATGACCCCCACTCGGACCCGGATCCCTAGTCCGGGATCCTGATTGAATCTTCTGGACTCGAACCTCTTACTTTCTGTATGCTT